ATTAATCAATAACTTGCATCCCTAATTTATACAGGAATGAAATTAATTTGTATCTACTCATATTCATGTAATTAAGCATTTTAATGATTTGGTCGATTAATCGATTAATCGAAAAAATAATCGATAGATTAATAGATTATTAAAATAATCGTTAGTTGCAGCCCTAAGTGTTGTAGCTAGGTTAGCGGCAATAATACAATTGCCTGTCGGCTAACTAGAATGCAGTTTCATATGGTTTGTTGGGAAATGACGTCACTACCATTTACCAGTTCCTGGAATACGATATAAATGGAACGCAGCATAAACACGAGGCCCCAAGCCAAATCTATCTAGCCATGATTTTCATCTCACTCCTTTTAAAAAAAAAAAAAACTACCAGCCAAGAGGCAAAGTCTTGCCTTACATTGAAATGTTAACTAAAGCAACAGGTTTGCACCGGTTTTTCATCGCTTTTGAAGGCACACATTGTTGACCAGAAATTAGGTAAAAGTTCATTTTGAAACATTTTGGCATCAACAGTTCCTCATATAGTGCCACACTTTTTGATCTTTTTGGCTCCTAATTTTATCCGTTGCACCGATTTCCATGTAAAAGGCTAAAATGCCTGCGTTTTCTCCTTATCCGTTTCTAATTTCCCCCCTCTGTGGGGTGGTCGAGGGTGAAGTGAGGCTTCTACAATCATAGCGTAGATGACTTGCACTTGCCTTTGCTCTTGCAGAAAATCAATAATAGCAACTCTGCTTGGGGAGAGAGCTCCCTCGTGAAGCAACGCTCTCCATCTGTTGATGCGTTGCGGTAAGCAAACTTTTTATATTGCTCAGTGGTAGTTAAGTTATTCCTTTACATTGGACCCACTGTGAGGTCATGAGCTGCATCATGCCTTTATGGCATGGAAAGAACTGGTCAAACAGGTGTGAAAGTGAGGGTTTAGAGTTCAACCTTTTGTAACTTAAGCACACTTTTATGCAAATTAGTAGCTATTCATGTCAGCAGTTCTGATTTACTATTTGTAATTTCAAAATAAAATGCCACAGAAATTGATATTTTCTCATTTGCATTAATCATGTCAGAATGATCGTCTTGCAACTTAGTTTGGCTATAAAATATGGAGTTGTGCTTAAGTTTTGGTGCTACTCACTGGCTATTAATCCCACTCCAGCCACAAGGGAGCCCACCCAGGCAGTCATGCCCTTGCTCTCTTGGTAGGTGTGCAGCCACTCAGGGTACAGGACGCCCACGGACTGCGGAGACCCATAAGCCAGGAGCTGGGCCATAAAGGATGTCGCGATGATCACCCATCCCCAGCCTCCATCCTGGATTTTAGTGGACGAAGTCATGGTACTGATGGTGTTCGTGCCAACCTGGGATCTGCTACAGCTTGGACTGAGGAGAAGATCCTGGAAAGAGAAGAAAAAAATAATAAAATAAATAAATAAAAAGACAATATTTAAACACATCAACATATATAAAAAGACAACTTACAAGGCTCTACTTACTCCTAGCCTTGATGGTGCTGCTGCAGCACCTGGCCTGGGCAGTCACCTGTATGTGTGTGTGAGGTCCTGAGCTCCAACTGACTGCAACCTATCCACAGCCAGCTGCCCCTATTTAATCCTTTTCTCCCTCCTAACCACACCTTGTTGGAGGAGGAGAAAGTGAAGCAGCCCTGTCARCTGCGGAGTGCCCCACTAATGCATCATTAATCTGCCTCCTCCATGACTCAGCTCGGACACACACATCTGAAGTTTGTCAGACACGTTCTAAATTGAGGCCCATCGCTGCAGGGCCATGGACGGAGTCATGTTTTTAATGTCAATTTATGGGCAAATTCTATGCCCATTGCTTTTAAAGGGTTGTCAAAACAGCAGGGTGGCAATTATTAGAAGAAGTCAACACTAACATAATATTTTGAAGCAAATCAGCATGGTGTCATGACTGCTTATTTACAGACAACATAAACCTGTGTTGTTTTGTTTATCCTTGTTGGGACTATTTTACCCAAAGGTGCTTGGTTTTTGTTAAAAAAAAATAAAATAAACGAATATAATGCGGCACTCACCTGAGCGTCTACAACAGCAGCCGCCTGAGGAGCTGCGCGCTCTGCGGGAACTTTTTCATGGAACCAAAAGATCTCCTCTAAGAAAATCTTCCGACAAAATGACTTCAGCTACAAAAGCATCGCGCGCGGCTGCATTGCCTTGAATCTATGAGGTCTGTGAGTGCGTGTCAGAGTGGGGGGAACAGCTAGTGAGTTCATTGTGTGTGTGTGTGTTTGGTATTGCTTTGTAGCCGGTGACAAAAACCGGTTCAAAGCTGTTCTTGCTGGTCCAGAAGCAGCAGCGGCGGCAGCAGAGAGAGAGAGAGAGGAAACGGCGCTTCCTCCTCCTGCGCGTCTGGAGCGCAGCGCGCAGCTCTCAGGCTCGGTGTCTCTCCGCAAACACGAGAGGCTGCTTTACTTTTTTCACCTCCTGTGTCTACATTGTTTTTATTATTCCCTCCTATTTAAGGCTTTTATAACAATAGTTACAATCACAATCAAAATCCCATGCATAAGTACATTTTTACCTGTCGGTCCTCTGACACAAAATTCTGTTTTTTTAATTTATTTATTATTAAATTTTTTTTTTATGAAGCAAGCATTCTGCGCAGGAAGAGTTAAAGTGCGCCTCTAAGGAAGTCATCTAAACTTTGAAAAATCGAATTAGCTAACTTCATCATCTTTGGAGATTAAATGAATGTAAAGGTTGGTGTTAGTGCTGACTGAGCTCCTTTTCTCTCTAGTAACATTGTTCATGTGGCCATCAGTCCAGTCTGAACCGGTTGATGGATGGTAATAACACCACCACATTGCATCAGCAAGGCGCACCAGGGCTCATCCTGCTGGGAATGGAGCTAGAGTCTGAGGGGGAAACACGCACAAAGCTCCTAAATTCAGTTATAATCTGTTTTTTTTTTCTATAAAAGAACATCATATAACATGCAAGCTGGGCCAATATGAAAAGACAGGAGCCACATCAGACAGTCTCATAAACAACCTGATAAGGAGGAAATGAGAGAAGTGACTGACAGGATAATAGGCTATTTATTAACAGACAACAAACCAGAGGTTGTGGTAACAAAGTACATTTACTTTGTAGTAATTCTTTGAGGATCTTTTCACCAAGTTTTTTTTTCTTCTAAATCATAACTTCTACTTTTAATCCGTCATACATTCAGAACATAAAAATTATACTTTTACATCTTTATTAAAAAAAATTAACCCCTAGTAATGCATTATCATTTTAAAGACTCATCATGAAAGGGGTTTTTATGTGCTCTGTTAAACAAATGTAACATGCAAAATGTAAAGCAATTTCTTGAAAAGAAAATGTGTTAATTGCTTAATTTGCTCAACACGATTTAGCAGAACAAGTTGATAAAACTTAAATTAGGTAAATTCAACTTTTTATTTCTTAAAGTGTGAGTAAAAGTTTTACTTTCCTGATTGTTGTATAAAATGCTTCAGTTTTTCCCCATTTCTGTATTTTCTAATCTGATTTTATGAAGATTCACTTCAGGAAAATTGGTTCTTTTCCCTCTAATTTATGATTTCAAAATCCACAAACGATTAATAAAAGCTAATGTCTCCCAGTTTGTAATATTAAAATGTGAGAGCTGACAGGTTTCCTCTTGTCACACTGCAGCAGCATCATAAAATTATATTGTTTCTTTTTTTAAATCCAGGGGCAATAAAAGTGATGCGGAAAGAAAACAAACTTCAAAAARTGGGACATGAAGAAAGGTACAGTACACAAACAGAACGTGTACAAAAATTAAGAAAAAAAGGCAAGTTTACACTGGATGAAGATCAAATTATTAGGGTCTCAAGCTTTTTCCCATAAGTTACACTGTCAGGAAGGGTGTTAAAGATTTAGGCTCCATAATCCCCCGTTAATTGTACTTTAGACTGGGATTACACTGACATCCTGCTCCTGACCAGTTTCAGCTAGATGTAATGCATGTGAGGGACAGTGGACAAGGATCAGAGTGGGCTTGGAAAGTCGATTCTTACCTGATGGTGGAATTAATGTCAGTTAAAAATGTTCATGAACCATAGTTAGTGTGGCTTTTGAGCTCAGGTTGGGAAAAAGTAAAGTATATTTTGGCTTTTGCTGCAATTCACATCAACAGTAGTGTTGAAATTGACTAAAATCTTTGATATGAGAAACAGCATGTATTATGTGAAAACTGTCAATTAAAAAACTAACAAAAAAACAGAAGGTCCATACATTATCTTCCGCTTGTTCCAGAGTCAGGTCGCAGGGGCAGCAGCTTGAGTAGAGGGGCCCAGACTTCCGCAACCTGCGTCTTCCAGTTTTTCCAGGATTCCAAGGTGTTCCCAGGTCAGCCAAGAGACTACGTCTCTCCTGGGTCTCCTCCGCGGTCTCAGTCATACCTGAAGTGCCTATAGGAGGCGTCCTTACCAGATGCCTGAACGACCTCAACTGGCTCCTCTCGCTGTGGAGGAGCAGAGTCTCTTCCGGATAACTGAACTCCTCACCCTATCTCTAAGGGAGATTTCAGCTGTGGATAGAATTAATTTCAACTGCCTTTATCCGCAATCTCGTTCCTTCAATCCCTACCTAAAGTTTGTGGCCAGGCAAACAGAGAGCTTCTCTTTATAGCTCAGATCTCTCTTCAACTCGACAGACCCGTACAGAGTCCAGAAAATTGCAGTAGTGACATTGATCCGTCTATGTGTCATGCACCATTCTTTCCTCACTTGCAAACAAACCTCCCAAAGGCMGAAACCTTAACCCAACCTGAAAAAACAGGTCAAAAAATCAAAAAAGATCAACTACTTTTATTTGCTGAAGACCTTTATTTGCTAAAGACGCTTTCTCAATTTAAAATGKTTGGAGTTGTGTGGGGTTCCACGCTTTATAGACCTTCATGAAAGGCCTTGTTGATTAGATTTACATGTTAGACTGGAACTACTCGCCCCTCAGAGTAGAGAGTCRTAGGCCCTTTGTTTCCCTGGCTCACGAGAGAGATGTTTTGGTCACGTGCATGAAGATGTGAATTTGGGGGAAAGTAGAATCAAACCTGCTACACTGTAAGTTTTTCTAAGTTGAAATCTGAGCCCTCCCTCCTCTGTTTAAAGTTATCTTTTTCTCGTTTGACATAAAAGTTTGTTTTCACCCTCCTCTTCACCAGTATGTGAAAACTGCCTGTGCTGAGACTGATACAATAACCTTTTTGGTGCTATAGGGYCTACCTGAAGTGTATTCTTGTTTATACATCACGTCTCACATATACAAAAAAATAAAAATAAATAAAAACACGATAAATTCTGAGGAATAACTGGTTTGAGTGTCCAATCAAAATTCTTCGTCAGTATAGGAATTTGGTGTGCAACAAGCAAACAGTGTCACAAAAACACACCTAATCCACAGTCAACATGAGTGTAATTTAACAAAACATATTTTTATGATCATGCCATGGAGTAAGAAAATAAATGCTAATCYTGATCATTTTGTTCCACTTCACTGAGCTTTCATTACACAAATACACTCCCAGCAGTTCGAACGAACTGGCTTGCACGTTCGGAACATTTCTTTACGTTTCGCACTTTGGAGACACCCGAGAAGCAGCGGCCTGCTGTTCTTTCCCGTAAGAGGCTCAGCACGTGTAGGTTGCGCCGAGCCAGCCCACAGTCTGGATAAATCTCCCCCGGTTCTGTAGCCTAGTTTCAGAGAGCTGCCGAGGTGAAAAGGTCACTCTGGTAACCCTGCGTGGCCACCTGAGCCTCTGGCCAAGATTCCTGCTTGGATTAGATCAAACTGCTGAGACAACACACAGAAAGAAAAAAAATAAAAATAAACAGGGCAGAGGAGCCATCTTACTCGTATCCAAACTCAGCAACTCGTTGGACTAACGTACTTTTGTCACACACAGAAATGAGGAGTGTGTTTTGTTTCTGGTGAGTTTAAACATTGTGTCGGCTAAACAAACTCAGGTGTCCCGTTGTGACCTAATGGAAGCCTAATGTGTCCCATTTTTGTCCTTTTCTCCTCCCACCTGCTGTTATTGCACCCACATTACAAAGGTTCGTCATGTTAAATGATCCCAGAATGATTGATCTACGGAAACCACTCCTGGTATCCAGCCAGCTAGAACCGGTTGACTGGATGAAAATTAGATACTGACCCTCAGTGGAACCGTAGTGAGAGGACATCACCTGACTTGGTTACATAACAGATTATTGTCAAAGAGAAATGGATTTATTTCAGTTTTCAGCTTGGAGCACGGAAGGGAACGTCTGTCATCACTTTGAATTAAGAGTTGAGCAAATCTCATGTTACACTAAGTTCACACATGTGACCATGACAGGTTTCTACTTTAGTCTATCACATAACTTCAGCTTTACAAGAAAACACAAAGGTTGTGACGTAAGTCGAACTCAAATTTCAAAGAATGCAAGTAGAGTTTTAGAGGATTAAATTGCATTTGTAATGTTTTGACCTACTAAGGAAAAATAGGTTAAGAAAGCTGTTTAAGCTTTTCCTTTGGCAAGTATCAGTGTGCTAAAATACTTTGGCGACTTCTGTTGAGAGAAAAGCAGAAACATCATCCTGGTAGATTTAAAAATAGTAGCTTATCATCTGATGATATTTAATGCTCAAGAAAAAAGTGTTAGTTATATAAAACACTATTTTTTTTGCCAAAATGGTTTGGGAGTCCATTGACTCTCTAAGTATCTTCCATAGTAAGGACCAATATCCTTACCGCCTCTAAAACAAACACAAAACAATGCAATTACTCATTTATATATGTTTTTACAGACCAAGTGTGGATGTTTGTGTATAAAGTATYRATTTCCCTTAAAAAATTTGGAAACACATCAGATTTGATGCCAACATATCAAAGACCTATTTGAGAATCTACAGTAAAGCYATTAAACCCTTCAACACACTCACCTGTTTTAAAGAGCATCATTACCTCTGTGTGTTTGTGACACATYAGTAAGAAAAGTCTTGCGTATGAGTAACTATTCTTTTTTACAATCTCACGTTAGCTTTGATGGTGCGATTTATTTAAGGCACAAACATTTTCCATTCATTACGGTTTTGTTGTACTGCAGAATATAACTTTCAGAATGAAACATTACATTAAAGCAAAGTACAAGAAGAGGGAAAAAATCAAAATAAAAGCGAAYGCGTATGAATAGTAGGATCCATTAAATAAAAACTGCATAAAATCACAGCATTTTGCAAAGTTAAATATAATTTGAATGACAAACYGTCACTTGGTACGAGTGAATAGCAAATGTCCATAAAACTGACAATTAAACAGGAGTTGTCATGTCAAGAGCTTTAATCATACATAGAAATTTAGTTGAACAGTACCATTCAATTAGAATGTTTTAGCAGTATGTATATTTAGTGTGAAGAGCATTATTTTTTTTCTGATGAAGAATAGCCATTAGGATGATAGAAGCTTTCAGAAATACACCAAAAAGAGAAATCAGAGAAACGACCGAGTACATGACTAAGCTGTAACATCTCAGAATTTATTTTTTAAACACCTCAAAAGGTGACATTTATCTGYGATTTATGTACCAGTGTCCATCCTCAATGCTTTTTCCTTTTCGTCTTAACTGAGACTCAGCACAACATTGAATGCTTTCTGAAACTGAAACCGTGCCACAAGTTCTGTTTGGTCAATGCCCTATAACGGAGAAACTCCAAGCAGTCGTCTATGACACCTTAAGTAGACCTAATCAAAGCCACGATTAACTTGGGGGTGGGTGGGTGGGGGGGTCATAATGAATTGCTGACACTGCTTAAAAGACAGAATGGTGAGCTGGAGCGAAGGACATTACTGCTATCAAGCGTCATATTATAGGCTTGAAACAAAACAAAAAGACCTACTGGGTATTCGTTTTTTCTAGCAGATGATCCATCCTTTGATTCAAACATCCAACCTACAGTAAAACACCACCATGAAACATACTAACTGTGCCATTTGTGCTATCTTAAAAGCATCACAATTCAAACCAGCTAGTCCCAAGCAAAAAAAAAACAAACAAACAAAAAAAAAACATTTTCAAGACAGAAGGTGGAACAAATTATCCTACAAATCCCAGAAGCAATTGTATTTTCGTCCATCTTTTTCCTTTTAAGAGAAGTAACGCCACATGTGGATTTGGCTGGCAGCTACCATTACCAAGGCTGAGTTGCCGACTTGTTCCTTTT